TTGGTCATCGCATGAAATATTTGGTTGAAAAAAAAATTCATCTCGGCTAAAGCAAATCGAGTCAGGTAGATGTTGTTTTAGTTGGTGATGGTGTTATTGTTGAAATGTCCATGCAATTGTTATCCTTAACTTATGATTTCGGTAGAAAAACAAAACGAAAATCCTTCAGGCAAATGCATATTTTTGCATTAATTTTGTGTTGTTGGAAAAAGTGTGACTATGAGCACATGAGAACCGACATACATGGTGAAATGCACATAAATTTTATGGCTATTTTTTCATCTTTTTTTGTTCTCTCGTGTCGCCTATCCTGTCGGGTTTATTGGGATGATTTTGTGTGAGTGTGTCTGTATGTGTTGAAGTTGAATTGTTACTACAACATACCTGAAAACAATTAATGCTAGGCAAAGTGTATGTAAAATTCAATCTTCATTTTTTCCACAGAGCATGAATAAAAGAATCATTATTCACATGACAAAAATATGGAACAACCAACAACACAAAAATTATCCATTTTTATTTATTAACAAAAAAAAAGACAGCGTCCTGCGCCCACAATGGTATTTCATATGTGTTTGTATGTCATTTCAAATCTGCGAATTGTCACACTTTTCGCTAAATTTATCTCTTGACTGTTTTAAATTTTGGTGGTTTTTTTTTTCTTTTAAATTTCATTGAATTTTTGGACGCGCGCCTTCTTTTCATGGTATATGTTCTGGCGGCTAAAAAAATTCTTGTATTACACACAATACATACAGATTGACAGAATGGCAGTGTGTTATGCGTCCTTAATAAAATGTTGTTTATGTGTATGATTGTTGTTGTTTTAATTCGCTTTAAATATCACATTGAAAACGACCCTAATACGAATTTTATACCTGTATTCGTCGTCGCAGTTGAATTCCAGTATCAAAACATTCTCGCGGTATTTTCCAATTGGTCTTTGTATTTGTCGTTGGCATCGTATATTTCTATATTTTCGCCCTAGTCGTTCTTCTAAATGCATATATTCGTTTTCATTCCTCTTTTCTTCACATTTCTCTCGATGCAATCCCTTACGCACTGTATGTGACAGCATACAGAGCAACAAAAACATGTTTGGCTGTATGCGTGTGCATTGAGTAAATCTACACATATGTGTTGATAATGAGAGGGAATTTTTTTTAATGTATAACTGATCATACACACTTCCTTTACGATCACTGCACTGCAATTGTATGTGTACAATGTACATTTTCGTTGTGTTGCCATAATTAGTGTTGTGTTCTGCTGTGTCTGTCTCGCTCATTCTTCGCCGCAACATGTATTTCATTTTTACCATCGTTGTTGTTGTTTGCATATATATATCCTTAACGACAAACATCACCACTGGCAGAAGCTAGCTATCTTTCTTGAGTTACCGATCAGTGTGATTCTTACATTCCATTTGTAAACACATTGTAATTGAACGTTTTTTTTCTCTTCAGTTTAAATTGAATAATTGTAATTTTTACTTGCTATTTTTCACAAAACATTGTCCGATAATATCAATTTTTTTTTTAAATTAAAACAAAAATATTATTTAAAGGTGTTTGTAAAGTCGATTCAAAAAATCAACAGTGCGCGTACAACAAGTTAATTCATTATATTCCAATTGGCGGCAGAGTAGCGGCGTTCCTTCAAAGTAAGTACACAAGCGTTGTTTTATGCCATAATACAAGATCCTCATGTATATTTAATTTGAATTGTTACTGCTGAAATTTAACTTGAGGTTTTGAAAAATATTTTGCATTAAATAAATTCCCATCTTTTTTTGGCTTAAATAATAATATTGAATGGAAAAGTATCTAATTTAATGTATTTGAAATAGAATTTTTTGGTCTCAAAAAAATTCACCCCGTATATTTGATTTTCAATTTATTTTCTCATTTCATCGTCGCCACTTTGTTTGAATTTTTCGATTCGAGTGCCCATTCAGGTAGACTGCTTCTTAGAGAAAAAGTAGAAAAAGATCATTTCTCATTTCCGAGAAATGTTACAATCGATTTTCAATTCGATAAGGAAGAGCAAAAGAGAGAGGGAGAGGGCTAAATATTGAGATATTCAGAGATCGAGTAAGAAGGAGATAGATAAAGAGAAAGAAGGAAAAATGAAGCAAACATTTTACATTAATTTTCTGACTTGTTGCATCGGCATCATAAAGTCGGCACAAATGCCGACACATTTCTTAGGCTTCATTTTATAGACCTACACTTTTTATCTTTCCATTTAATGTCTAAAATGAATTTCATTTCATGAATTAAATGACGTATGATTTCAAAATTCGAATTTATTATGTTGAAAATTAATAAAATCAAATCAAAACGAATTGTCAGTTGGAGAAATAAAAAAGCAGCAAAAAATAGTAATCATATGTTGGAAAAAAAAGAAAAAGAGAAACGGTTTTATTTCAATGCGAATATTACTTCATTCGATTCGCTATCGATTTGCTCATTTGTTCTCACATTTCAAAGTACATCAATTGGGTTTATTGATTTGCAATAAGCAAGCAGATGTGATGATTACCACCATCACCTGAGCGATTTGTATACTTAAAAAAAAGAAGAGAATGCATGTTTCTGAACTGTAAGAATGCAGAATGTGAAGCAAAATAAACCATCGACACACGCATGTCGTAATAACATGGAATAAAATGCATGTATAGCGATCTAAAAATAATTGCAGTGAATCGAATTTTGCATAATATTTTTTTCCAATTGGAACCTCTTTTTTAATCGTACTTTAATAAATGAAATATTTTTAATTTCTCGATTCGATTCACCCTTTGAATAATGATCAGAGCCATGGAGACTCATCCTTTGTTTCTGATATTTTGATGTTCGTTGCCATTTGGTAAGCACGAAGCATGAAACGAATTTTTTGGTTTGTTTGTCAGAATATGTTGCAGTTTAAGGAAAATTTCATTTCACGCCAACTTAAATATTCGTTTCTACCGAGAATAGAAAATGGCTTAAAATGAGAAAACACATCAAATAATGTAAAAAGTATTTACATTGTTGTTGTTTTTTTATGGTCAGGACAAGGGATGAGAGTATGAGCTAAGAAGATGCGAATCGAAAAGATAAAGATCCATTGTTTTATCTGTTGCTAATCCAAACAAAATTTTTTGCAAATGCCATAAAATTCGTATGGTGTTCCAGAAATAAGAATAACAAAAAACACAAAAACAATACAAAAAAACAGCACACAAAATGCTATCCTTCTTTCATTAGTCAAACAAATTTTCTTAATTGTTCGAAATGCATACCTGAACGCAATAAGAAAATCCTCCACAGTAAGAACACCGAAATGAAGAACAATAAGAAGAAGAAGAAGAAGATGCAAAAGAAGGAATATATGTAAATATCAATCTTACTCTGGATTTTATGGTGCTTAAATATGAAAAAACATGCACAGCAACTGAAATAATACAATGAAAATAACAAAAGGAAAGTTTTCAACTTCTTCTGTTTACCTTTTACCTTAAGTTTTCGGTTGGTCTTGAAAATTGCTGTGCTGCTTTGCATAAAATCTTCTTTGGGTTTTCTATTGTAAAATGTGCCATGTTTTCTTTTCTCAACAATTCAAATAAGGTAATAAAATAGCATGTCCTTCTTTTCAAAAATTCAAAGAAACAAAAAATTACACCCAAAAAATACAATCTATTGAATTGTCGTATCTTCTGCTTCTCCGTTTGTCTGTGTCTGTGTGTTTTTTTTTATTACATTTTACTTTTAATTGTCATATTTAAGTTCAACTAAATCGCGTATTCTCCATTTTTGTGTTCCTTTTTTTTATCATTCTGGCGGCAAAAATAAGCTTCACAATTCATGCAAAGCGAGACAGAGAAAACGAAACACAACCAAACATATAACAATGAATGATGGTTTAAAACATTGCATAGCGTTAATGCATTGAGAATTTTGTATACGCTTCTTTACATTCGATCTATCTCTTTCTCGATCCCGTACCATTTCGCCCATTTCTATCTCACTTCATACCCACTTCGTGTCTCTGTCTTATTTTTTTTAACCCAACAATTTTGTGTTGCCGTCGCGTTGCTACTCGTCGTATCGACACATTTGCCACATTTCCAATTCCAAACAAAATACTATATATCTTTAAAGAAGCGTTATGCAGAACAACGTGCAATCAATATTAAATGCCAAATGTTGGCGAGAATAAGACGTTGTCGTTCTCATTCTTGTCTTGTCGTATATTATTCATAAGTCATATTTCATCTCGGTGTGTGCAGCGAATTTTGTATTTGATTTCACCAGCGAAAAATCTAAACGACGACGATCTCAATTTGCCCTTATACGAATTTTACCTGTACCGTGGCCATACTTGAATTCCAGTCTCGACACAAACATTCGCCCGATATTTTCCAATTAGTCTTCTTTATAGTTTTTTTTTCTTTCTTTCTTCTTTTCGTTTCGCTCAACTGTCAATCTGTTTCGCCCCGAGTTTGTTTCTTGAATTTGATCCCTTACACAGTTCTCTTTAAATGTATTTGTAATGTTGCCATATTCGCCTATACATATTGGTCGGTCTATAAGAATGTGAGTACATGTGTGTGTGTGTGTTTGTGTACGTGTATGCGAGGGAATTTCCATTCCAAATGATCACCCATACAAATACATTTTTTCTCTTCGTCTCATTCATCGACCAAAAAGCAACAGATCAGTGTAATTGTATTTGTATTGACATTGTCCAAATACATGCAATTAGGTAGTGGTGTCTCCCTTCCTTCTATACTTCTCTTATTCTTAAAAAAAACATTAGTGCGTTCTTATTTCGTTTCTCACCACCTTTGTGCCCATACAAGCTGACTTAACTATTTTCTTTGACAACTGCTCTACAGTTTAGCTCTTGAATTCAACCGGTGAAGACATTTAAAAAAAATCCATTTTTTCTCCAATCTGTTTCATTGTTACTTATTTTTATTTTGTTAAAAATTATTCGTTTTTTTTTTTAATTTAAACGTGAATACTTTATGCATATCGGCTGTGTTTTGACCACTTTTTTCAAAAAAAAAAAAATAATAATAACAAGTGACTTTATCGAGAAATTGTTGTATATAAATTGAATTTAGATACTCAGAATTTTGAATAAGAACGGTACGCGTGTTGTCACACACCGTTATATAGCGCAGAACGAATTAAATTCCAATTGGCGGAATCGTAGCGATTATTCGAAGTAAGTGGGATGCTCACAATATTAGATTTTAAAATAAGTAAAAAATGTTCAATAAAATATTTTTTAAAATATTATTGTTTGTGAACACAAAAAATGTTTCAAGTAAAATATTTGTGTTCGAACCCAAAATGTCGCTGTTAAACGCATGTTCTGACATTTTGCGTTGATCTTTCATCATATTCCTTTTCTGTTTGACACATTAAGTAGAATTACCACTCAGGTAGATTTCCATTGGTGAGCACAGAGGGAGAAAACCCATTTCGTTTCATCATTCCGAGAAATGTAACATACGTCGAGCATATTCAACAATAAAACAAAGCGAAAGAAAAAACTTAAGAAGAAAATCGAAAAAACGATTTGAGTAGAAGGAATGGCTTTACCAATACGATTTTTATGCATCACTGGCATACTGTGTGTCTGTGTATATGTTGGTGTATTTCGTTGCCTCGTTTGGATTGTTTTTCCTTCATTTCGTTCACAAAAGATAATGCACATAAAGAACAGAACAAGAAAAATGCTTACAATACCAAAAGAACGAAAATTTTTTTTTGGAGATGATGTAGAATAAAGCGACAGTCTATTACCGTTCTGAACGAATGTGATTGCAAAAGCGAAGTCTCTAGTTTTTTTTTCAACAACTCTCTCTCTATCTCTCTCTCTCAATCTCTCTCTTTCTATCGTTTCACTTTAAACATACTTGTGGCCAATCAAACTGAATTATAAAAAGTTGTACCTTTATTACTCACTTGAGTGTATTAAATGCGAAAATAAATTGTCAAACGCTTATTTGTGCTGACTGATTTTTCCTTCTTTTTCAAATTTTCGCACATCACATGTTTTATTTAATTTAATGCTACTTCATTCGAATGTAATACAGCAAATAGTACCTTATATTTTTATTATTATTGACGTATTTTGAAGAAAAAAAAATTAATTTCCATACTATTTTGAATGTATTGATTTTCAGATCTCTTTTTATTTGCTATTGTCTATATTGAAGTAATTCATTGAAAAATGACTGACCAAAGTGCCATCGTCTTTGTTAAACGGGATACCGATGAGGGAACAACTGCGAATCTGCCATTATGGATGCTGGTTGAATATCGTCACCGTAACAAGGTGACAAATTGTGAAGTTGTTGCAGCTAAGGATGTCTGTACTGGCGGTGGTAATCGCTTGAGTCCGAACTTCGAATCGATGCATACGGGAAAATTGGTGTACATTAAGAAAGATTCAGGTGTAGTACAGGCAACTGTTGTTGCTATTTCGGATGACAAAGAATTTCTGAATGACGAACTCAAGGTGATGGTCGTTAAAATGCAAAAAGAAGAGTACGAGATGCAAAATAGTAAAAAACGTAAACGCATTTCAATGCCAAAATTGGAGAATGGTGCATCGACATCGCAGCAATATGTACGCTGGAATGGTACTCATGAAGCTGGTACATCAACTCAAAATGGTATAATGAACAAGCAATCGGTCATCAAAACGAATCCAAATGTTCAAAATTATCCACCGATGACATTTGATCAACAAACTCAAACCGATTTTAAGGTAAACAATGTGAATGATTTGGCCGGCAATGAGATGCGATTCACGAAAATTTTAGCCACCGAAGAGAATATTTCACGTGATGTTCATACATTGACCGAAGAAAATCATGAAATGAAGCAACAAGTTGCTGATTTACGCATTGAAGTGGCCGAGATTAAGTCATTGTTAAAAGATTTATCGGAGAGACTGATCCATCAACAAGAAATGGCAATGCATACCGACTTTAATCGTTCGATGTTGAATTCAACACCATCGGTTGTTGCTCGTCCGCCACACGTTAATCCGCCGAGAATCTTAAATTTGAGCCATCAATCCAATTATACACCGCACACATTGAACTACAATTCAATTAGTATTGAACCGGTGATTGAGGCAAGCACCGATAGCAATTTTTCCTATTCAAACCACAGTCGTGTATCGTTGAGTGCATCAAATCAGTCGATCTATCAGTCGGATGCAAATCACAATGATTCAACGCATGTAGCTGTCATGAAACATGATTATAGCAACAGTAGTAAAAGCAGCAAAAGCAGCAAAAATGGTGAAAGCTATCCAGAAGATGAGGGTGATCCAAATGAAGAGGTTGTGATCGGTGTGAATGGTACAACCATAACACGCAACATTCTAATAAATGTTAATTGGAATTCACACACCGCTGCCACTCGACGCCTATTGCGTACCAAATTCACTCGTGAAGTACTCGCTTCACATTCACTAACCGGAAAACCATCACCAGGTATGTTGATATTTATAAAATAACAAATGGCAATGATAAAAGTACACAAGCACACAAGCAACATCGATTAAACAATTGAATCAAAATGGTTTATTACAAAATTTATTTTAAAATATTTTTTTTTTTTGTTAATTTCAGCTTTTATCGAGTCAAGCAAACCGACCAAAAACCAGCTTAACCCAAAAATCATTGCCGACATTGTTCACTATGTGGCAAAACGTTGCAAGGTCACAGAAACCGCGGTCAGAAGCTCAATTACAACCAAATGTGCTGATGAAAATAAAATGATGCGCCAGCGCGCCGATAAAACTCGTAAAGCACTAATGAAACTCGAAAACAAAGAAAACGTAGGAAACTAAATGATACCAAAACATTAAGCTAATCGCTTATTAAATATATAAAACACATAAATATATATATATATATATATATAAATATCGAATGTCATCGATATATATATAATATATAAGTCCACCTACTATATATACACACACAACACAATATATTTTATCTGCTATTTTATTGATTACGCTCAATTTTATCCAATACGAACGATTTTTATTTAATTATATTACTGCACTTCTCCAGAATATCGAAACGCTTCTCATAAAGACATGCCGTATATTATGGATAATGATTGATTAATTAAACAGCTACATTACAATATTTAAAAAAAAAGTTATGTGATTTGTGGTGGTTACAACTACATTTGTAGTTTTAAATTGAAAATCTCTATACGGTTGAAGGGCAACATTAATTTGTACAATTTAAAGATAAAAAAAAGAAAATATTATGAAAAAAAAATTTAAAATGTTAGGGAAAAATCGAAAGTATTAAGAAAAAAATCATCATTATTAAAATTTTAGTAAAAATTGCGGAAGTAAAAAAATTGTAGATTTTATACAAAAGAGAAACACAATGTCTCTTAAAAAAAAGTAGTATTTAGACAACATTGAGCAGCATATATGTAAATTTGTATGGTGGTTTGTAAAAAGTCAATACAAAAATTAAAAGTTATTTATTTGAAGTATGTGTATCAAATCCAATGGTTTTTAGCTAACAAACCAATATTACCCTAGTATTTAACAAGTGCAAAAAAAGAGGATCTATGGTTATTTTTGAACACATATAAAATTGTGTCCATACAACACCATACCAAACCACAAAATCGATATTACGTGAAAATTGTTCAAACTTTATCAAACCGAATCAGCAAGTTCGTTGGTTTCAAATCGTTGTAATGCGCCCGCAAAGATTTTTGTTACATATATTTAGTAGACGAGGAATTGTTAACTGTATTTCAATACATACTTATTTTAAATAATTCACTGAAAAGTGAAAACGAACATTTCACGAAAAGCATACCGAATCGAAAAGTTGGGAGTTCCGAACATAATATCATTTCTATAGCGTGCATACCAACGCTCAATCTGCTTTAGAATTTATTTGAGATGTTTATACATCTCATCACTACTGGTAGCGCATAATAAAAACCATCCAAAAAAATAATTCGTTGAGCATTTACATTAGAACGAACAACTTGAACAGGAAACGATTCGAACGAAATTATTGTAAAATGACTTAACAAAATTATAATGAAAATAAAAATAAAATGTAAAAAAAAACTGCAACCGTGTTCAATTCGTTTTTATTTCAAATTCGTGGAGAGATGAATGGGGAAAAGGAGTTCATGATTTGGATGGTATGTATTTTTAATGTGATAAGCAGTACAGAGATGTTTCCATTATAATTATAACGGCCAGCTGGTCAGCATTTGTTGCGAATATTCAAATACAGAAGAAATAGCGTATATTATGGTGCACGATGCCTGTCGACAACATAACTCAGCACACAATTGTGTGTACGGCAGCAACGATGCGAAAATTTGTATCAAGAAACTCGATTAACCGTAACGATTTTTTTCTCACTCTCTCTCTCTCTCTCTCTCTCTCTCTCTCTCTCATTCTGTGTGTTATCGTTGTTGCTGTTGCGACCTCAATCGATTTGTTCTTGGCGTATCTTCTGTGTACGGGATCGGTTACCGCGCTCGGTGTGATAGGATGCGAGTGTGAGAGAGACGGAGCGCGCGAACATCACAGCTATTGTTTCCACCAGCAGCAACAGCTCAACATTCGAAATTATGCAAATCCAAAACCATTAATAATTGAAAACTCACTGGCACACAATCTAAGGAATGCGACGAAAATAACCACGAAACCACATCTTTTTCTCTCAATCTCTATCTAACTGCAAACTCTCGACCATAAATCTCAAACACATTCGATCCAAACATTCAATCCACCAGTAACCGAATAATATTAATGTGACATTATTTCTTACGGTAGCGTCTGGGTCGGGCAATACGGTACTCGTGGCCACTGTACATTACATCCATTCAAGCACACACACACACACTTATTCATTTACTCACACTCTTCAATGGCCAATTCACTCGTCTCACTCGTTCGCCTGCTTCGGTTCGTTCTAGTGGGCAAATAAATACAGATTGGCAAAATGAGAAAATACAAAACACACAAATCGAATTAACTGTCGACGAGCACAAAACAATATTGTAAAAAATGAGTCAACAAACATTTTTGAAACCATTTTAAATGGTATTTTTATCAATTGGCAAAAAGCGTTTTTCTTCCATTCACTGAACAAACAACAAGCATTTTTATGCCGTGAGCCACTGAAGAGCCGAAATTGAGCCACAACAGCAGAATGTGGGATGAACAAAAAATAACAAATTCATCTCGCACAGCAAACACCAATACTCGAAATTAAAAAGAAAATAAGAATGGTTCCATCGCTTGAAATGTGAATAATCTCTTTGCTTTTGATAGTATTGTTTTATTTTTCCGGCTTTTTATTGAGCGTTTATAAAATTTCAAATGCAATGAGACACATTCAAATCCCACAACCTACAAATATTCACTTAGATGCTTGAGAATTATTATGAATGTATGTAATGCGTAAAATACGGTGAATATTCGATTTTTCAACTATAAACACCGACCGTTCATTTTCGTTTCAAGAAACAATGGTAAGTTATGATTGAATTGTTCCTTTTTCGCATTTATTTAGATAGATGTATGAAAAAAATGTGCTCTTACTCACGATTCCAATAAAAACACTTGCAAAGACTAAGATTACATTTAATCCTAATTTCCTCTCGTAATTTTAATAGATTTAGTAAACGAATACGTCTATGTATTGCTTGTGACAGATATCGTACATAAGTGTTTTCCCGTTTACATCACAGTGATTGTGAATTCTATTGATATTTGCTTCGACTAGTTAAGTCCATTTAATGCTACGCATTACTTTTTATTGGTTTGTCATTGTTATCCTAAATAATTATGTGCCTATTGTAAGTTATATAGTGTCAACGTTTGGTCACTTAATTCTGTTTTTTTTTTTCATCCACACCAATGAAAAACAATATAATCAAAGCATTTCGGTACTATTGATGGAAAACATTTTAATTGACTCGAATCGCTTTCATGTTATATAGATGAAATGAGTAGCAAAAAAAAAAAAGAAAAAAACCCACATCGATTGACATAGCCATACAATGGAAACGACAACGAAAAAAAATCGTGCACTTCGAGGAAAAGTTTTTCACCCGTATCTGATTGTTTTGGACTGAGATTGTGTGTCATCCATTGGTTGAATTTTACAACTTTTAGCCTTCGGCAACAATTAGAAATCTTAGTAAACTGAACTATTGCACTAAAATGGGAAAAGTGAAGAGAATCTTATTTCAACTCAATTCATGCACTTGTAAAACCATTTCGAATTTTCGTATTTTTCAGCAACTGCGATTCGGTTCACTTCGAAAACCACCGCCACAAAAAAGCAAACTCTTAAGTTCAAAACTTTTTCAACTTATCTCTTGTGCTTTTTTCGTCATTTTTTTTCTTGCATTCAGATTTTTTTTTTGGCAGCTGTGCTGCTATTTCTGCTTTCTTTGGTTTATATAAAAAGCGATACCAATGAAATATGTGCACATATTAAAGTAGATATTTGATTAACTACTTTTATATGCAACCATGAAACTCGATTAATGTGACACCGAAACACATTCGAAACATGAAAAAAAAGTCTTTTTTTTTTTCTTTTTCTGCTATTTGGTTCATCACACATACAAACCAGGATAAAATGAATATGACGCGTACAACCCATGATACATATAAAATTCAAGGTCTTGGTCCACCTTTGCATCTTCTCAATGCGTGAATATTGCATTGTTAGATGCATTACTCAGCAGCTCTAGTCACGAGAAAAATACAATTTATTAATTAAAAGCAATGGATGCATGTCTGTCATTAACGCCTATCCTCCTCCATCATTAGCAAACTAGAAACTAGAAATTCAAGGAAATGTGTTTAGTATGATTACTCTCTCTTTGAATATACTCTGTGTACAAACTCTTAATCAGTAATGTGCTGAGAGCGGCTTTTCATTTTAAAATCATCCTGAGAATCTGAGCTTGCTTTTTCATCAAACACGAATTTTAACCTCATTAAAATTGTCAATAATTACTTTATTGGCATAACATTCATGTTGTGTTTAAAAAAATATATATATTAATCGTGTTAGAAAACGAGTTTTGCTGTTGATTCCTTTGCGGGCCGCCGTTTCATAATGTTCAAAAAATTGCACTGAACAAAGTTTATAATCAAAGTCAACGAACGAAGTGTATACAACATACATGTGTTAAAGAACCATGCGCTCAGTTGTATTCACAATATTTATTTTAGAATTGGTCAAAGCCATGAATGTACGACAGTGAATTTGGCCGCACTTGAAACTTTAAAATTTTGCTGCACTTCAAACTTTTTGGTAATGAACCTGAGAATTACGTTTGTCATGACATCCGAATTTAGCAATAAGATCTTTCAAATTCAACATTTTAGCCCACTTTTTGATAAGAAGACCAAGATGGACTGGTCCAACCTGGTCCAAAATGGATGTCAGCCGAGATTTAACACATCAACATTCACTGTTAAAATTTCGTTGAAATCGACCAACACGTTTCGGAGTTTTGGTAACTGAAAAAAAAAAAACAAATCCAATAGCTCTGCATTTCAAATGCGCTAAAAATGAGAGTTGTATTTTGTCTGGAGCCACAGATATAAATGTGCGTACATAAAATTACCATTTAAATATACGGACGCCTCGTGTCACGTTGTTTACATGTTTATTCAATTGAATCAATAACATTAATTGTAAACAAAGCGTACACAGTATTTATGACATTAATAATTTGTTCTATAGATCTGTCTGCTTGTTCAATGCGTTCAATTTTCAGTGTGCAATGTTCAATTCCATGGTTGAAAAACCATAAAAAGCAGTGATCCATAAATGGATAGATATATCCGCCGAGCTGAGCACTCAGCCAGATATGTTCGTGTGTATTGCACAGCACTCAGCTCAGCAGATATATCTATCCATTTATGAAACACCGAGAAAAGTCGAAATTCCTATGACATACATTTGTACGAAATACATTTCGTCTGAAAGTAAATAAATATAATTAAGATCCATTCGAACAGAAGAAAAGATAAAATGGATTTTTCATACGTCATATGATATCCTTATCGTAAGCAAACAAATTCCATTGCAATCATTATTCGATGATGAACTGCGTCGATTTGAAAATGTACAGACCCCGATGAGCAAGATACTATAAATAGGACTGCTACTCAATGCAGTCTGTTTAGTTTAATTGAACATTTCACAGTGAGAACAAACGCTCGGGTATATTCAAAATGTTAACACAACTTTTCGTTGTCGTAATGGTGAAAGGCATTTTTCTGAGACCACTTGAGGTATGCGGCCAGAATTCGTTAAGTCAAACAGATATTGTATATAAGATTACTGAATCTACACCAAATATAACTAATCTACTATCGGATTTGAGTATTTTTACATCGAATCCAATAAATTTACTCACTGGAATCACTGATGTTGTGCCAAAACCAGAAATTCAAAAATTATGCGTCATGATCACAGTAAGGGTTATCCGTTCAAAAATAATATACATTTTTTTTAAAACTATTCTCCATTTCTATATTTCATTGAGAATCAACTGATCAAGTACTATGGTTATATAGAAGACAGCTTCAAAGTAACAACTTCCGATGGCTACATATTGACGATATTCGTGTGCTACTCAAGTAAATTTACAATCAATCAGCTTAAGGTGATATTTCTTCTACATGGGATGTTCGATACATCAGACACCTGGTGTATGAATAGGGGAAATCAGTCTTTGGGTAACCAAATTTAAGATAGCATTGAAAAGTCCAAAGAAACTGATCAATTGCATGTTTACAGCATATTTTTTAGCCGACCAAGGTTTTATGGTGTATCTGTATAATGCACGCGGAAATCGATATTCACGAAATCATGAAACTTATAATCCAAATTTACCGGGTAAATTTTGGGAGTTTTCGTTTGCTGAGATGGCTATTTATGATGTACCGGCCGTTATTGATGAAATCATTAAAAGAACAAATATTTCGAAAATTGCATGCGTTGGACATTCACAAGGTGGATTTATAGCAATAACTGCTAATTGAGGGGGTTAATAGTAATTTGTTTTTTCCTCTTCTTCCAATAATATGTCCACAGGTGGCACAGTGCTATTGATTTTCGCATCTCAAAAACCGGAGTACCACTCAAAGATCAGTTCGTTCACTTTATTGGCACCGTTTACATTCATGACTCACGTCGGATTTCCCATTAACGATATTCTTAGATTCTTTCAACTATTCACTGATACGAGAAATTTTGAATTCGCACCAAACAGTTTGCCGCAACGATTGCTGGCACCTTACTTATGCCAATTGGCAAATGGTTCTTATTGTAATTTTGCGATCAATTTTGTGCTAGGACCAAGTGAAAATCAAAGGAATAATGTGAGTTATATATTATATAATAAATTGTTGAATTGGAATTTAATTGAAACGTATTGATTTCTTCAGAGTATGCTTGGTGTTTATATTTGTCATATGCCCGGAGGATTATCAGTGAATCAGTTGGTGCATTTTGGCCAATGGTTAGTATATAATTATATGGGGCCTATGAAACCCACATTTACACATCCAACACCCGGAGATTATCCCCTGGATGACATTAAGATACCAATTCAACTGTTTTATTCGCGGAATGATCCTCATACAAATCCAATTGATATTGAGATATTACAATCGAAATTACCCAACCAAATGGAAATACACGAAGTTTTGCAGTTTAATCATGTGGATTTTCTTTGGAGTATCAATGCGAACACATTAGTTTATTCAAAAATTGTGTCTTTCGCATTGGGAAACATGTGAATTTTATTACCAGACCATTTTTTGTTTATTTTACATTCATTTATATGTTTGTCAAATATAAAAATCCTGAAATAAAACATATTTTGTACAGTACAATTTTATCAATGATGTCTTATCGTATTGCGAATGCAAATATTTTTATTTTCGAGAATAACACAGCTTACACTTAAACACAATACAGTTGACACTTTTGTGAGCTATTTTTATTGCTTCCCAAATTGCTCGCAATACCAAATAACAAATATTACCGCTGATTATTTTCAATGACTGGCCGAAAACGAATGATTAAGACTCCTACTAAAATTTTATTGAAATATAACACTGTCATACAATGAGAAAATTGTGTTTTACGTCAATATAATGTAATCACATGCAATTACGATCAATATCATATAACACCTTCTCACTTTTTACTTCGACCAATCTATTTTGGACTAAAATGACACTTATAGCGAAATAATCTCAATTTCTCGTAAATAAAGTGAGTGAATCTGCTTTTAATTTTGAATTTGAAATCAACCAACAACAATGGCAAAGTACTGCCTAACACGTTTGGAGGTAGAATGGATTTAAAGAATGGCATTTGAAAGAAAATAATTTTTTTTGATATAAAATATCACTATTTTTCTCTAAGTAAAAATGACTAATTTTCCTTATAATGCGACCAGAGAGCCTTCATAGGTATAATAGGGAAACTGGAATGTAGAACAATAGACTTATTGATTTGTTTATATAAACAAAATGCTAAAATCAATAGATTGTATCATAAATTCGTTGTCCATATGCGTTGTTCACAAATAGCGCCTATGAATATAGGGGCTGCGAAAATATCACTTATATTACTAATCTTGAAAAAAGAAAATGAATTTCCACAAGATTTGCGATTGAAAATTAGTCAAAAAATCAAATGTTCCAACATTTATCTGATAAATCCATTTGACAGTATTCTGCTGCTATTGGAACTTTTTTGTTAACATAAAATGCCGAACTCATAAAATATATGCGATATTTGATTAACCATTTACTTTCGAATGCAACCATGAAACTTGGTTAATGTGACAACAAAAAGCATTAATATTCGTTTTTGTTGTTTTCTCTACCAATTTTTTTTTGTTTTACTTCGGCATGCGTACACATTTGTAGAACGGTGAAAAATATGACAGTTTGATGTATACAACCGATGTGGAAAATATTCGAAATCCCATAAACCAGAATCTAAAATTAAACAACATTTATAAAGTTCGTTTTTTTCTTCTTCTTCTGCTAAAGTTTTCCCTGATGGGGCTAAACAACGCTTGCACACACACTGACACACGCAAAGTACAATTAACGGCAACATTAACAGTGCACATTTTGTTTGCTGGAGTGTAAAACCCAAGCGAACTTCGTGCTTTAGATAATTTTCGCATTTTGATGAGTTGATATACATACAGATATTTTGAAAGCGTATGTATTTATATTCGGTGTGTGTGTGTGTGCGAGTTCGTATAAAGTGTTCATGTCATTGTCAAGTTTTATTTTCATCGCCAAAGTAACAGTGAGATTGGAAGCAAAGTGGTGTTTGGACATAAAATGTATTATTGTTATCTTCGTTCGCCTCGCCAACGCTTTTGAATAAATTCGGTTGAAAAAGTGGGTGGCAGAAGTAAAAGTTGAAATAAACACAATTCTTCTATTTAATGTTTTACACAATTTTCGAACGTTTTCGCATTTCCAATGTTGTACACAGTGTGCTTTACATTTTCACTCTTTCATTCTTTCACACTCACTTTCACATGCCATTTCGAAATATTTTCCCCCATCATTCCTTGATGTCAAGTGGCTCGTAATTTAAATGCATTGGTTTTTGTTACACTGTTCGAGAGTAATACAATATATATAATACATATTGGTTGGTAAATATATGTGGCCATTTTGAGTATCTTGAGTAAGTACATCGAAGATCTTTTTATTGGTCGCTTGCAACAATATGCTGTAATTTGGTATGCATGTGTGCGTATGAGTGCGTGTAAGTGAGCGAAACACTCGAGACATAAAAATCATAATGATTATTTACGTCGAGTCAAAGGGAGAGAGAAAACGAGAAAATCCGAAATGTTTTGGCAAACATTATTTTTCCATACAAAATTATATTCGGTCCACTTTTCGTGCAAATTGCCTTTTGTTTACAATCATTTTTACATTGGATTCAAGTGTCTGCAACGTGGAATACTTAATGATAAAACGAGAGTAAATGGTTGATTCGGGATTTTCTTTCTTCGATAAGAATTATAGCAATTTTTAATGACAACCAAAACCGAATTTTTAATAAAGCGACAACAAAAGATGCGAGAGAAAAGAGTTGCGAACGATTGGCGAAAGCGTGCCTTTTTTTCGTCGGCGATCTTTGCAAAGTCTGGCATACTTATTAACAACAGAGATTTAATGGTGAATACATTTTCAAAATTAATAAAATAAAACCTGTTTTCAAGTAATTTATAAATCATGCAAAAACATTTTTTGTGTATTTTGTGCGCGTATGCCGCGTCACCGTTAAATTGTCAATGTTCCATTTTTTATTGGTAAATTTTCATCCATTTCAGCAGCAACATCAGCAACATCAGCAACAACATCAACGAAAACAAATAGCCAAACTGATTTTCGGTGTATCATTTATAATGCTAAATGGAAAAGTGTGCAAAACATTTTCACTTGACGATGTTGAATTTTTCATTTTCACAACATAACTGTGACGGAAATATATTATTTTAATAATGCGATTTGATTATGCTGTGCCAACTTTTTTGGCTTCGAAGCGACGAAATATTTACTAATATAACCCAACAATATGAAAACATGGACGGCTGTTATTGAATTTATGTTTATTGTAAAGCAATTAAGACGAACTTTCTGGTTTTGATATAAAACGAATTGCGAATGGTATTGAACGAGTGGCAAAATGTACAGTAAACGAAAGTAAGCGAATTTAAAAGTAAAAAAAGACCGACAAACAAAAAGAGAGTTCTGCCACATTGAAATAACAAAAAGATGGTTGTAGTATTGAAGCATCTGGCGGAAGATCGAATGATTGCCTTGCAATTTCTCGGTTTTATTTAGTGACGGTCCTGTCATGTAAACAATAGATTATAATAATATTCAAATCGAAATTAACGGCCACTGTTGGAAATAATAAGTGACAATCTGCGTACATTATTATATGCGAGCGCATGTCATACGAACAAAAAAAAATTTATGAATTTTCGTTTTGTTCGAATAAATTTAAAAATAATCCTTTTTTTACGCGTTCGGACTGTTGATGTTTCAATACATCGAGTAGTCATGCTCAATTCTATTCATAAATTTATACAATTCCAACACTTGTATTCGATTAAGAATGCACATAAAAATATACCTTCTCATTCTCATACACACACATACGCAGAAAACTCCATTACGCTTAAATTAGAATTTATTAGATATTTATGCAATGGACTTTTCCAAACACAATATCGATTCACTGTTGAAAGAGAAAGGGAGAAAGAATGGGACCATGTATATACATCAGTCGTTCGTATAATGTAAACGTCATACACGAAATTTGGTGTTTGCTGCATAAAATTTATGAACCAATTTTGCACGCATAAATGTCTATAGACAGGCAAAGAATTGAATTGCCCCAGCTCGATTCCATACTGAAAATATCTTCGAAGTAGTTAAACGATGATATGATGATGTTGATGGTACATGGCATAAACGACATCAAAACAACCGTGTGACGCTATGGATAAATGGACATTCGATAGAAAGTTTAGTAGTTTGACAGCTACTACGCGTACCAGTAGTTTTGTCCAGCAGCCATTTTCCTTTTCAAAAAGGAACTTTCATTCATGATTTCTTTTTCGAAAAACTTGAACATGTCTTTTTAATTACTTTTTTTTCTAATCGATAAAATTCATTTTCCGGTTTAAAATAATATTTGTGCCGTATATCAATCAATCATTTTGTATATTTACTCTTATCTTTACTGTGTTATTTTGATACTTGTCCCTTGAATCTTTTCAATCATTGATATAGTAAATAAAAATGTTATTTTAGGTATACCAAAATTAATTAATTCACGATTATATATAATAATGAATGATATAAAATTGGTTATGTTCTTTAGTCAAAAAAATTGAGAGTTTTCCATTCGCTGCAAATTGTCCATGTGCATGGACATTTTTGCCCTTATGTTAGCGACTCCAGCAGCTCGATGTGCATATAAATTCAGAATAGAATTATTTTATTTTAGATATTGGTTTTATGTTTCAATAACCGCTACTTTTATCTGTGTAAATAAAATAAATAACTTGAAATATTTAATTCAGCTGCTGGAGTCGGACTATTCATTTCTACACCATATTCAAGAGAAAAATCAACATTCGACAACATTTATTAAGTTAGAGAAAATTATATTATTATTATGCATGTGAAGTTGTTTAAAATTATTTTAGCAACAAAAATTAATAATTCAATAACTCCTCGTCGTTGGTTGTCATAAACATAGATGCGTACTGAATTAGTTCGGTACGTTCATTAGATGAATTACAGGTAGCGCGTCGAACCGAAAAAACTACGTATTTCACTGCTATGGAAAAAAGCTTCTGCCAGAATCTGGATCGGTTAAAATGCAACTGGAACATTTGGTTTAGCAAAAATATTAGTTACATATGATTGCCCGAGAATGAAAGCGAGACTTCTATTCACAACTTATTGAAATGTAACACTACCATACAAAATATGCTGACAGTCAGCACTTTTTGTATGGCGGTGTTACATTTCAATAAGTTGTGGATAGAAGTCTCGCTTTCATTCTCGGACATTCATATTAACTATGTAAATTTATTGCGTTAAATTAACACAATTAAAATTTAAAGTTAGCAAAAAATTACTGCACAGCGATAAATTAAAGTGTGAATTTGTTGAGCAACTATTTATTGAATAAATTTCTATAAATTGGATTCACTTTTTTTCAGCAGTCTCAAAACTGT